GCCCTGCGCTACACATGGCGCACGTTCTGGAGGGGGAAGACCCTACGGTGAACATACCAACAACTGAAACACTCAACAAAACGCCGACACAAGATCATCAAGACAATTCTCACACCGAGATTGAGGCGTTGGAGCAAGATGATTATATTGAAGATGTCGTAAGCGATTACGACTACGGAGGATCTCAGTACAAATCTGATGAACAAGATGAGTATGAGTACGAGAACGAGTGGGTAGATGAGGAAGAAGATGATGAACACACCAAAGATGAGGATCACATCGTCTACTTCGGCGCCATGAACCTAGCTCCTCCCGAGTACACTGAGATCCCCGACTCTGAATCCAGCACGAGCGACGACAGTGCTGACGATCCTGGCCCAGCAATTGAGGGCTTGTCAGCGCCCTATCGAGTACAAGCAGTACAAGCCAACTGCGACACCAAAGATTGGGACTCAGACTTCAGCAAACAAGAACAAAATGCGTATCATCTTGACTTACAGCAGGCCAACAATATGGACAAAAGGACCAAGTTCGTGCTGAGCATGAACGTCCAGCGCCGACTTGAACAGTCAGAAGTGCTTCAAAGCCTGCATGAGGAGATGCTCAATGAGCTCAACACCTTGCAATCAGAACTAACTATGACGTACCGTGCTCAAGCTACGCTATGCCGTGAATGGCATTGCCAGCTTTGCATGAATGAGGTCCGAACCAAGCACATACAAGAGGTCTTCGAAGAAACCGAAAACCTCCGGGAGCAACTGTATGTTGAGCAAGCCGAGAAGTACAGGCTGAATAGGACTCACCGTGCTACCTGGCGAGTGTTCGAGTGTCGCGGAAGTACCATAGGGTATCTGCAAGGAAGACTCGGACACATGATAGATGAGCATGCCATTGATATGGCAGAAAAGCAGCGCTTTATCGAGTGGCTACATACCGACTTGTGGGATACAGCCCACATGCTCACTCGTTAAAACGACCGAATGATTGCTCAGCAAGCGTTAGACCGAGCAAACGAGCCGATACACGCACCAGTGGACGATGACGACATTGAAATGGACTCTCATCAAGAGAATATACCGCCGGAACCTGAAACAAGTCCTATTATTTCCTCGGATCCAACTAAATCGGAAACCGACTCCTTACCTGAACCAGCTACCGCCAACGGCACTGTACACCTCTATCTGCACCCCAACGGTAACAGCAATGTTGTACTATACAAACCTAACGCGGCACCACTGTCCCCCGTAGCAGAATCAGTACACCTCGCTATGGCGCGGGTAGTAGAAGAGTGCTCACCAGAAGACGCGGTCGAGCGCAACGCCGGACATACACGCACGGAGACCTCAAGCGGACAACAAAAGTACAGCCGAGAGGTTGAGCGGGGCCCGCAATGCTACGTCAATATCAATGGAGTAGATATGCTGGCACTATTCGACAGCAGCAGCACTATGACTGGCATCTCGCATAGTACCGTGGATGTAGCGAAAGTATGTACAAGACTGCTGAAAACGCCAGTAACGCTACAGCTAGGCTGTGTGGGAAGCAGATCGAAGATCAACTTTGGCGCTGACGCGAAAGTCAGCGTAGGAAACTTGAAGGAAGTACCACTTTACCTAGACGTAGTCAATATTGACCAGTACAATGTCATAATGAGCACACGATTTATGCACCAGTACGGGATTGTGTTGGACTTCGAGAACCAGTCCATCAAGATAAACGGCAGCTGGGTACCCTCTTTGAGAGGGGGAGATGGTGAGGGGACCAAGAATGAAGACGCGAGCGCAAGCCACGTCGCGGTAGGAAGCAAGACGTGCACCGCACCAAGAGCCGCGTCTCGCCCTGTGAAGAAAAATCAGCATTGACGTCAACAGGCACCAGCAACGTCGGATGAAGTCGCGAGCGGTATGGCTACTAGTGGCTCATCAGCATCCAATCCAGATGAGATTGAGAACAAACCTAAGGAAGTAGCGTACCTAGGCTTAATGAAAGAAGACGTGCCGGTGCCACAAACTCAAGTTGTGAGCCACAAGGCTTGTGCGCAGCTCCGCGAGAAGTGGATCGCGGCTAACGCGGACATCATGTCCGATGTTCCTACGGTGCTACCACCGCTTCATGCAGTCAACCATAGGATAGAGTTAGTAGATGAGCACAAGTGCTACAACTACTACTCACTGAGATGCCCAGAACCGATGCGGCTTTAATTGTAAGAAAAGCTAATTCAGTACGAAAACGCTGGATGGTGGATTAAGAACACCACCTAGCAAGCCGCACCAATGATGTGCATACCGAAGAAGAGCGGTAAGATTCAAACCGCTGTGGACCTACGCAAGAGGAACGACAATATGGTTCGAGACGTAATGCCCTTGCCCGATCAAGATCAAATTCAGACGGATGTGGCACGCGCGAAGATAAGATTTAAGATTGATCTTAGCAATGAGTACGAGCAAGTACAAATCATACCTGGTGATGTCCACAAGACATCCTTCTGCACCATCTTCGGCACCTACGAAAGCAATGTTATGCAGCAAGGGGACTGCAACGCCCCTGCTACATTTCAGCGCTTAATGACGCACATCTTCCAAGATTGCATCGGAAGGTTTATGCACTGTTATCTAGATGATCTATTTGTCTTTAGCGAGATGGTAGAAGATCATGAGAAATACTTACAAATAGTACTGGATCTCCTGAGGAAGAATTACCTGTACCTAGAAGCGAAGAAGTGTGAGCTATATGCCGAACGGATGGACTGCCTCGGGCACATTATCAATGATAAGGGTCTCCACACCGACAGAGATAAGATGGAACGTGTTCGCAACTGGCGAAGTCCGCGCAGTTTCGGAGACGTCCAACATTTCCTAGGGTTAGTTCAATATATTCAGCACTTCATGCCCGACGTTACCGAGTATACGGGACCTATCTCAGCAATTCTACACCTCAAAGTGGTTCAGTGGCGCCCAATCCACAAGAAATGCTTCCAGATGATCAAATACCTGGCCTGTAAGACACCGATCCTCAAGCCAATTGAGCCAACCAGTCTAGAACCTATTTGGTTAATCTGTGACGCCTCGAGAAGCGGAATAGGCACGTACTATGGCCAAGGAGAAGAATGGAAGACCTGTATGTTGAATGCGCAGCCTAGGAACGAAGCGCAACACTCTGCAGCACACAGAGAAT